AGCTGCAGTCCACTCTTTGTGAATCTCCCCATCATTTTGGAATGGGTTTTGTTTCACCATCCTCCATTGTGTGATTATCCCTATTGCTTGTACACTTTTTACTTTTACCACATCTTTTCCTTCCTTTCACCTCTAATAATGTGCTTGGACACAGAGCTCTATGAACAGCCAGCCTTTTTAGGAATGACCTTTTGTGTCTTGCCCTCCTTGTGCAAGGCGTCAGTGGTCGTCAGAACTAGACCGAGAGACAATTTAAAAGTCTTTGCAAGTGTTTTGAATTAATCAGCTGATTGTGGCACCAGGTGTCTTCAATATTGAACCTTTTCACACTATTCTAATTTTCTGAGATATTGAATTTAGGGTTTTCATTAGTTGTCAGTTATAATCATCAACATTAAAATAAATAAACATTTGAAATATATCAGTCTGTGTGTAATGAATGAATATAATATATAAGTTTCACTTTTTGAATGGAATTACTGAAATAAATCAACTTTTTCATGATGTTCTAATTTTACGACCAGCACCTGTACTATGTGCTAACCGATCATACAGTTTTATTGTTTACAATTTTACTTTTAACTATTTGGAGTCAACAAAGTTTGTCTGTTAGCAAAATACCTCTTTCGGGAAGTAATCATTTAGAGGTCAACGCAGTTCGAGACGACTGCCACAGCCAACTGACGGCAGAAAAAGCAACAATTGTTATAATTTAATCAATTTTAAAGATACTGAGCTAAAAATAAGCGATTGTATCCAAGAAGCAAAATGATGAAGCAAAATGAATTTATTCAAAAAAAGAACATTTTTTTAAATTTTAAACAGGTGGAAGAAATTTTTATTAAAATTTTAACAATTGTTGTTTAGAAAAACTATACCAAATATTTATCTTACATAGTATTTTTATCATGAACTCGTTCAAAGTCTGCATTAATTTCTCTAAACAGCATGCAGTCGTTTAAATTAGGTCCAAGTGATGAAGTTTACCTCCAAAGCTTTCATGCAGGCTCATCTTTAGATCCATTCAGCAAAAGAAAACGTTCAATTCTGTGCAGGAACCTCACATGCCTGATGTTTGTTTACAAAGTGAGAAAACCATCCTGCCATTTATTCTGCAGCAGATACATCACCACTCAGTCCTGAGTAAAGAGGGAAACACAACAAGTTGCACCTCTTCTTCCAACTCTGCGTGACTGATAGCGTGGGGCAACAGGCTAAAATGTTTCTATTTCCAAAAGATGGGCGGCGTGTTCATGCAGGTGGGTTTAACGGTTTGTTCTGAGGAGCGGTGGACCAGGTCCATCTGCGTTATCCACACAAAAAATGATAAATCCAAGAAGGTTGGACACATTTGGAGTTACTCAAAACTTTTACCAGATCTCTGGGACCAGCTGAAGCTGACATTAACCCTCCTGCTGCCCCTGGGTCAAAACAATATTTAAGGCCTTATGGGCCATTTTGACCCATGAGCAGCAGGAGGTTAAACGGCTACAGCTCGTCACACTGACAGAGGGTGAGCTACTAGCACCACGTCCTTACTGTCGCAGCGCTCAATATTTCTGAAGGTTGGAACCCGACGGGAAAAATGTCTGAACAACCTCGAACGCCGCTGCCCGCATGAAGCCCTCCACCTGCAGACCTCAGCACTGGAGCTCCGAGACACAACGAGCATTTCATTAACTAATTAACCAGGTAGTCTGAAACAGCTGTTTTTAATCCCACTGCTGACGCACGCAAATAAAATAAAAAAACACCCGTCGCAGCCGTTTTATTTTACTGGTTATGAAATTTGTTGGCTATTTACTCCATTCGTCTGCTGTCTGTTACCTGTTTAATCAACTGGGCTATTAGCAGGTGCAAATACACCAAAGGGCTAAGCTGCATTATACTGGGACTGGTTTTCTTTTTTGTGCTTAAACTTTGTGTCGGTTCACGTTAAGAAAATACCAGAATCTATTATAAAATTTCAAACCGTTAAGGGATGTTCTTTTTGGTCTCTCTTCCTTACACAGCTGCCAACATTATGATGACTCATGTCATTTGTCTTCAAACATTTATCTTGTTTTAGTAATGAGAATCTTTAAAAACCCAAATTACCACTAAATGACTAAATGTTTGCGTGACGAGTGTCTCAGCAGCTCAGCCTGGAAATGGGCACAGTCACGGTGTATTACGGCAAATTCAGGTTTAGATAAGTGGAAAATATTCTTAAAATATTAAAAATGACCTCTGATGGTTGATATATTTGTTCCAATAATCACCCAAGCTTAGCGGGCAACACTGTTCAGTGTTGAGGACCTGAGTTATCTCGCAGCGCTGCGTTCGTGAACACGCCTGCAGACAGAAAGCATGCTTCCTCCTGACGTGCATGCTACTTGTGGCGCCACTGCGTGCACAAGCTAACAAGTAGACACGTACTCGTAGTGGAATCATACTTCGACACCACCGTGTTGTAAATGTGACTCCAACACGTTTGTTGTCGTGTTGATAAATTCCCTGCTTCTGAAACCAGTCTGAACCGCCCTACAAACAAACAAGACCACCAGCCGACTCAAGAAGTCCTCAGCTTCTCTAAAGCTGCTGCTGAAGGCAAAGTCGTGGCTGTTCAGTAACACGACGAGCACTGCCCTTTACTTTTTGGTTTCACAATTTAGAAAATGTGTAAAAACGACGAGGAGCTGCTCTGCGCTTCCTGTGAAACGTGCTCCTGAGCTGCAAAACGTGCAAATCCTCAAAACAAACAAAAAAAAAAAACTGAAGCGCGACCATAAAAACGTGCTGCTCTCCAAGAAGTCCAACTGGTGAGGTTAATTTCTTTCAGAGAGTTTTACGTGTCAAGATGCAGATCTGCTGCAGCAGGTCCGTGCCAGCTGGGAGGTAGTCCAGACGTGTCCGACACACAATATTCTGCTCGGTCCAAACTGCACTTCCTGTTAGCTTTTGGTGACATGCAGCTTGTGGCCGAAGTACTCGGGCGCCGCGTCCATGAGCCAGTCGGCGTCGACCAAGCACAGCCCCCTCATGTAGCAGCGGGACGTGTGCAGCAGCTCGTTGAAGATCACGTAGGCCGGCTTACTCTGGAAGAGGACAGACGAGGGGTGGACGGCCACGGTCTGGTGGGCGTCCACAGCCATGTAGCTGCCGTCAGGCTGAAGCTCCGCGGCGTTGATGAACATCCCGTGAGCGAGGCAGCGCCGAACGTTCCCCGTGTCGGCCCCACACGACTCGAGCTTCAGGTTCAGCTGGAAAAACAAAGTTTTAGTTATGATGAGGTCCAGATACGACCTGCTGTCAAACTGGAGTCAGAATGTCCGGTCAGTCTCACTGTGGGCTCCAAAGGTAAATACGAAAACTGTCGAGCTGTCACAGGTCCTGGGTCCAATCCCCAGTTGGACCTGCGGTCTTTCTGTGTGGTCCTAACATAAATATATGTTTATAATCAACCCCCCAGTCAACAACTGCCTGCACTAAGCTCGCTAAGCTGGCAAGCGATCAACACAGAGGTGTCTCCACCTCCTCCACCTGTGCGCGTTTTCTGCCGAGGCAGGAGACACAGAGAGTTGGAGGTAACCAGGAAAACCTGGAGTGGAGTTTTAGTGGTTGAGTATTCTCCTATTAATCAAGTGGAATGGATTCGTTCACGAAGAAAGACAAACTGCACTGCCTGAACCAATGTTTCATAGTAAAAGTGGGGGGGTCCAAATGAACGTTTTTTTAATGTGGGAGGGACATGTCCCCATCACATATAATGGTTGCGACGCCTTTGGATAAACGATAATATTGTTTGAAATTTGACAATAATTAGTAATTGTCAAATTTAAGAAAAAATGTTTGTGAATTTTTGTGCAGTACCTTTGTTTGACCACTGGATGGCAGTATAAGACTTTTTAAACCAAAGGATGGATAGTGAGGGAGCGAGCAGCGTGTGTCTTTAAGAAAAATGGGAGGGAGGCCCCTTGACGTGACATGGGTTGTCTCTCCTTCCTGTTTTTCAGTTCTCAAAATGGAGGACCCTCGGTGTGATTTGAGCTCTTTAGGATTTTTCACACAAAGCTTTTAATAAAAAAAATCAGTAAACAAGTTCTCAGCTTCTTTTTGCAGAGAAAAACAACTTTTTACACGAAGGCACAAGTTTCAAACGTGAATTGTGGAGCTTTGACAAGACGGAGGATTTTTCCTCGAGGTCGGCCTGTTAGCTTAGCTCGTAGCTTAGCTTCTCAGCTTAGCTGTTTTTAACGATCCAAAAATGCGATATTTGGATCGTTAAAACAGATTTTAAAGAGAAAATCAGTGAAGAGAACCAGAGTTGAGCCTTTTGTCGTCCAGTGTCTTCTGAAAGAGACATGAAAACAATAAAGCCGATAAATGAAAATGAGGTTGATAATTTTATCATGCGATCAACTGATTTATTGTTTATCACAACAGGCCTAGTCTCAACACGGACAGACATATGGATGTACAGAGGGGGAGTATTTCCAATTCCCCTGTTTGCTTCCCTCTTAGAGGGACAACAATGACCTGGAGAACTGATGGCTGCCTCCATCCGGACAATAAATCCGCCCGATCAGTTTGAATACCTGATAAAGAATCAATTTTTGGGAGGGATCTGAGTGTAACAACAAGGAGCTGCTGGAAAACCAGACGTCTTAAACTTACTATTAAATTATTTCTTTAAAACTTTAAAGCAGTTCATGCAAACAATATTATTTTAGCTTCTACACATTTCTCATTACAAGGTCAGACTGGCAGAGATCAGGATGAGATGTTAACCCTGGATGAGGAGCTTCAGACGGCAGTGGAAGGTTTATAAAATAAGACCTGCATAAAACAATGGGAAGTCCTGGAGACTGGACTTGTTTTAAAACATCTTGACCCGTCTCAGTAAAGTCAAAATCAAACCTCTTCAAACAGACATTGTTTAAGCAGCTACAGGAGAACTGTACGACTGTGTACAACGTTTGATACTTTTACACAGAAAACATACTTGAAAATGACCTAACTATCACTTTAAAATATAGCCAGGCGTAAAGAAGCGACTATCGTTCAGAGATGATGACAGAAAACAGCAGCTTTGTACCTTCAGGCAGATTTCTCGGAGCTGAGCCTGAACTTCTTTCACCAGACCCATGTTCCTGCTGTTGACGAAGTTCTCCCGACACCACTCCTTCAACCAACGCACATTTAAAACAGATAAGAAGCAGTTTGGTTTTTTTATCTTTACAAACGTTTCCACCATGACACCAACCTTGTTACCGCCAACTTTCTTGAAAGCTCTGTAAATACTGAGCAGGGTCATGTGGTCTCCTTCGCTAGACGTGAACTTCTTGCGTGCGGCGAGCACCTCGTCCCAGCGGGCCGGAGGGTTGTACAGAACACTGTCCACTGACAGCAGGGACACGATGCTCAGGATCTCTTCAGAACAAGAGTAATCTGGGGACAGCAGGATGGTCTGGGACACAAAGATGGAAACATTAAGTGTATTTTCTCAGTTCTTTTGCGTTCTTCCTCATGCGAGCAACAGACGTTCATTTAAATCTTTACGATGGGTGTACGAAAGCACGGGAAATACAGATTTGAGCAGAACTAAGCAAGGGGTACCTTGGCATATCTTGGATCCAGGGGGAAACTGGCCATCTTCTTCCCAAGAGCGGTGAGGAGAACCTGCTCCTCCTTCCTCTCCACAGCTCCCAGCAGCTCCAGCTGCTTCACAGCAGCACAAACCGCCTCTGGAATAAACAGGACGGTCGTTACACACACACCCACTGAAGAAGGAAACTCCTTAATGAGCGACGGAGCCGCACCTGGAGAAGGTTTGGACATGAAATCAAAATTCATCACATCTGGAATCCCGAGCGCCATGAGCTGCAGCATCACACCGGCCAGGTTACACCTGCAGGACACGCAAAGAACAGCAGCCGAAACGTTCAGCCACTCTCACCTGAACACGCCCAGCACAGACTCTGAACCTACCTCTGGATCTCAGGTACAGTCATGGGGATGAGGCTGTCGAACTCCTGCTCAGTGTAGAGACGGTAGCAGAAGCCAGAGTCCTCCCTGCCAGCCCGACCCGCTCGCTGCCACGCCTGGGCCTTAGAGACCCGCTGCACCGCCAACACCTCCAACCCACTGTCTGAGAATCACAGCGCATGAGAAGCATTAGGCTGGACGACAAAACTCCAACATCATTAAGACTGCTGTAAAACTGGATGAATATACAGACAATAATCGAATATTCATTCAGGCTAAATGAGAAACATACAATTATAAAGACATTTAGGATGTTTCAAATGACAATTTGTTCCCCGGTGCCAAAAACACAGAGTGTGAAGAAAACCTTCTTGGGTCTTTCAGCACAAATCATGGAGCAGATTCTCTTTCATCCAAGACATTGGTAAATTAGCGTATTTTTCGGCCTACAAGTCACATTTTTTGCATCATTTTCATGCCCTGCGACTTATAGGACAAAGCGACTTATTTATGGATTTTTCCCCATATTTATAAAACAAATTTTGACTGAGATATGACCGTTTTCATTCATTCTTATTGAGCAGTACCACTTTCAGCCACTTGATGGCAGCAGAGTAGTAATAGCATATGGCACGCCATTGCATCATGTAATAGGTAAAAGTGGCTATAATGACAAATTAAAAAAGTTCAAGACAAAAACAATATTTTGTCGAACTTTTTTTTAATTTACCATGTCCTGGATGACTGAGAATCTTCACCAGCTATTAATGACGCAATCGGCTTGCCATAGACTTCCACCTTCATTCTGCTCGCTGCTTGGAGCAACCGTCAAACCAGACTGAGACACACTGCACATCGTCAAAGTGCATTTATTAAGTAAAAGTTCAACTGAGACACACATTTACTATAATTTCGAGCAAACAAATAATTGTTTTTAGGTGTTAACCTTGTTAAATTCTTGTTAAAGTCCTCCTGTGCACGCTCCCGTGGCCACCATTTGACAGCCCATCGATTTTTGGCACAACACCGGCCCACGTTTCTGGTTGTCAGCGGTGACGCATAATAGATGTGACATATAGGGTGAAGCGACATATTTATGGAATTTTCCACTTTATTGGACATATTTGGACAGATATGACTTATAGGGCAGTGCGGTACAGCAGAAAATACGGTACAACTTTTTCCACCAGCTGAGAGGGTCACCACAGCGAACTAACTTGCACAAAGACATGGCGATTATTTTAATGCCAGATGTTCTTCCTGACACAACCACAGACACCGAGCTACCACAGCCCAGTGTGGAGCAGAGAGCTGCCATCTAGGGTGCCCAGGGGAGCAGATGGTGGGGGTTAAGGGCCTTGCTCAAGGGCCCAGAGTGGGGCAAATGAGGGTGGAGGCAGATGCAGGTGTTTCACCTTTCCCACTCACATTTTGATGTTGTCGTTAGGGGGAGTTGAACCAGCGACTTTCCAATCACAGGCCCACCTTCTCTAACCTCTGCACCACCACGCTTCATTATTTACATGGTAAATAATAACAAATATTTTAAAAAACTTTTCACCTTTGAGGGGTTTCAACAGAAACAAAAAAAGGATCAAGCAGCCCTGCACACAAACATCTTGATCACGCAGCAGATAAAAAGTGACAAACAAGCAGAGAGGTGCAAGAAGATCCTGAAGTCATGGTTCTTTAACTCTGGTATAAGTACTACTGCTATTTTGGTCATGTAACGGCTTTCAGGGCAACATAGTGGTGCAGTTGGTAGAGCTGCCACCTTTCAGCGAGAAGGTTGCTGGTTCAAATCCCCTCCGGGGACCTTTCAGTGTGGAGTTTGCATGTTCTCTCCGTGCATGCGTGGGTTTTCTCCAGGTTCTCCCGTTTCCTCCCACAAACCAAAAATATGCATGTTAGACTGATTGGAACTCTAAATTGTCCCTGGGTGAGAGTGAGAGTGAATGGTTGTCTCTAGAGTGTATCACGAAAGTGAGTACACCCCTCACATTCCTGCAGATGTTTAAGTGTATCTTTTCACGGGACAACTTTGACAAAATGACACATTGTCACAATGAAGAGTGTTCTGTGTGCAGCTTCTATAACAGTGTAAATTTATTCTTCCCTCAAAATAACTCAACATACAGCCATTAATGTCTAAACCACCAGCAACAAAAGTGAGTACACCCCTTTACTGAAGAGGCTGAGGGTAAAGGTGATGGACTGGCCAAGCATGTCTCCAGACCTAAACCCAATAGGACATCTTGAACATCCTCAAGCGGAAGGTGGAGGAGCGCAAAGTCTCGAATATCCACCAGCTCCGTCATGGAGGAGTGGAAAAGCATTCCAGTGGCAGCCAGTGAAGCGCTGGTAAACTCCATGCTCAGGAGAGTTAAGGCAGCTCTGGTAAATAATGGTGGCCACACGAAATATCGACACTTCAGGAACTTTCACTAAGCAGTGGTGGTCTTAGAGTGTGTTTGGGGTCATTGTCATGCTGGAACACTGCCCTGCCACCCAGTTTCCAGAGGGAGGGGATCATGCTCTACTTCAGTATTTCACAGTACATATTAAAGTTCATGTGTCCCTCAGTGAAATGTAACTCCCCAGCACCTGCTGCACTCACGCAGCCCCAGACCATGACATTCCCACCACCATGCTTGACTGTAGGCATCACACATTTATCTTGGTTCTCCTCACCTGACTGCCACCACACGCTTGAGACCATCTGAACCAAACAAATTCATCTTGGTCTCATCAGACCATAGGACATGGTTCCAGTAATCCATGTCCTTTGTTGACACGTCTTCAGCAAACTGTGGACTTTCTTGTGTACAGACTTCAGAAGAGGCTTCCTTCTGGGATGACGGCCATGAAGACCAGTTTGATGTAGTGTGCGGCGTATGGTCTGAGCACTGACAGGCTGACCCCCCACCTGACAGCACTCCTGCACCTATCTTTCAAAGACAGCATTTGGATGTGACGCTGAGCACGTGCACTCAGCTTCGAAGAAGTGGGTAAAGATAATGGATGGATAACTACTTTTAAGTTAGATATTGAACAATTAAGCGATGTGTTAGAGGCTACCACTGTCAGATCAGTCTCTGCAAGACGGGCGTACAAGAAGAAAAGCAGAACTGTAAGAAATTTAGATTCTTAGCTCAGATTTATATCCAGCAACTGGACATCAAAGGGTTAACCCTTCACACAGCTTCAGCTCTGCAGCATGGAGCAGAAATGTACTTCTTGATCAATTACCATATTTTCAACCTATAAGTCGCAGTTTTTTTTGCATAAGTTACATGCCCTGCAACTTAAAGGCCGAAGCGACGTACTTACTGATTTTTTCCTCATATTTATAAACCATTTTTTGACTGAGATATGACCGTTTCCATTGATTCTGACTGAAAAATAAATTGAGCAGTACCACTTTCAGCCACTTGATGGCAGCAGAGTAGTAATAGCCATATGGCATGATGTTGTATCACGTAATAGGTAAGCGTGGCTATAATGACAAATTCAAAAAAAGTTCAAGACATAAACAACTGGACTTTATTTATTATACTTTATACTTTATTGTCTTGAAATATTTTGAATTTACCATGTCCTGGATGACTGAGAATCTTCACCAGCTTTTATTGACTCAATCGGCCTGCCATAGTCTCCCCACCTTCATTCTGCTCGCTGCTTGGAACCGTCAAAACAGCTGCACCACCCCTTCAGCTGATTTGACCATTAAAGTGCATTTATTAAGCAAATGTTAGACTGAGACACACTTTGCTACCATTCCGAGCAAACAATTGTTTAGGTGTTTATCTTGTTAATTTCTTGTTAAAGTCCTCCCGTGCACGCCGTTTGGCAGTACATTTTTTGGCACAACACCGGCCCACATTTCCAGGTTCGGTCCACATTTCTGGGTTGTCAGCGGTGACGCATAACAGATGTGACGTATACGGTGAAGCAACATATTTATGGATTTTTCCACTTTATATTAGACAAATATGGACTGATGCGACTTATAGGGCGGTGCGACGTGTACGGTGGAAAATACGGTACACTGAAACAACTGAACATAGAAGTTCTAAAATAATGTAAAATAACTTTTAACACTTTTATATTTTGTGATTATGACGATTTTACGATGTGACATACTTAGAATTTTAAGTTGGAAGACAAAAGTTGATCGGTGCATCCGGACAACAAAGGGTTAACCCTTCACAAAGCTGATGCAGGAGAAATGGCAGAGACGGAGATCAGCTGATCAGCTGCAGGCGGGAGCTTCCCCTGCACTTGTGGGCTGCATACATTGTGAAAAATCATTTAAAATAATTTATTTAAAAAAAAAAAACCAATCCATGGCTCATCCATCAATCAATCAGCCCATTGTGTCATGTCCAATCTTATTTTGAAAAACCACGATAAAGCGAATCCGCGAAAAACGAACCGCGAAGTGGCGAGGGACTACTGTAATATTAAGAACAAATACATGTGAGAATAAAAAAAGTGTGCTAGTTCAGAACCTGGACAGTCTATGGTGCAAACATAGACACATCCAGAAGATGGGCTGACTGAGATACACAACAGGAAGTACATGAAGATAAAGAAAATGCAGCTTCTGAACTGTACTCCCGAGGTCTCTAAAGATTCCCACACATAAAGATCGGCCCAGTTTTAAAGTAACGCAGATTATTTTTTTTTTAGTTTTTGTGCCCTTCTAAAGAGTCACAAGATAAATATAGGTTTCTGAAAATGAGCATTTATTTTATAGCTTTACACAAGTACAAGTGTTTGTATTAAAACTTCTGACCAGGATTGAAGCGTTTGGCCTTCACCATCCCCGTGTCAATGATGTACTTGATCCCAGAGATGGTGACTGAGGTCTCAGCGATGTTGGTGGCGAGGATGACCTTCCTACAGCCCTAAACAACAACAAACGACACAAACATAAAGAAATGTACCATAACTGCTGTCTAACAGGGGGAGAAAAACATTATCAAGAAGACCAAAGTCCATGCTCAATAATCCAGGTAAAAATCCAACAACGTTCA